CCCCCCCCCCCCCCCCCCCCCGAGCTCCATGCTGTCGGGCTGTGCTCCTTGCTGTCTGTGCTGCGCTGTGGCTTTGCACATGCACGGGCCATTTATCAGCCAAATTATTGGCCTGTTATGGCTGATTTCCGATATATTACATTTTCTTTATATCAGTGCCAATCCGATATCGAACCAATGTATCAGTGCACCTCTAATACTAACACCTGTAGGCTGGCAATCTCTAGCAGGAGTGTTTCCATCCAGGAAGAGCGCACACCAAGTGCAGCTGCTTCCTCAGCCTGACAAAGGGTTTTTAAACCTGAAAGCTTGCTAAGAAGTTTTTTTCCAACTATTTAAGTTGGTTTAATAAAAGATATCAGATTCACCCAAAGAACCTTGTCTGTCTATGTCTTTAGACCAACATGGCTACAACCTAAAACCCCTGTAGCAGGAGTGTGGCATTTCTTCCACTGGAAACATAATGCCTGTCCAAGACCTTAGTCCTGCTCTCAGAATTTTTTCTTGCATGTTTTGGTGCTCCTGCTGCCCCTCCCAATAACTGCACAATTTTAACTCAGCAATTCCCAGCCCAAACACAAATATAATGGGTTCACAACTAAGACCCTTAAAAATCAATGGCTCTCTTCAGAAAATACGGGCCTAAGCTACTGGAGAGGACTAACTGTACACCACACATGAATGCAGACATTCCTGAGGAAAGGACATTAAAATGACAAGAGTGTTTGGGGAGGGCGAGTTCAGGTTTTGTGAAATAAACACATACCTATTATGTCGCACAACTAAATTTTCAGTATTAGATACAAAAACCTGCATTCACTGTCCCGCCATGCAATTAAGGTCACAAAACATCAGGAAATCCAAAGTCTACTGCCACATTACACATCCTGTACACTTTTGAAATCTGCACCTCAACCAATGAATCTTTCACAACAGAGGAAAAAAATACATATCTATATGCACAACACAGCTGAGTTAAACATTTTAACATATAATGGAATGCAGCAATTAATTATGTAGTGTCAATAGTTCAGTTACATATTTTGATCCTTTCAAATTTATAGAGCTTGTTATATCTTTCACCTAGAGAGTCTAGGTTGCCAAAGTTTGCTATCTGTGCAGACTACGTAAATAGTGCCTGTGAGCTGCTTGAACTCACCTGTACATTCCTTTGAATAGTTGTGAATGTAGGTACAATGCATTTCTCCTAATGTCTCCTTTTGGAAACTGAATTTTCTTTAGTCAATACTGAACAGGAAATAATTTTCAAGCTATCAGTTTTATTCCAGCAAAGCCAACTTGGTGCACGTAGCATAAGAAAGATGCAAGAAAGCAAGAAACCTGTAGAATTTCTTAACACAAGACAAAATTATTTTTGAGCTCAGCTAAACCTTTTGCTCAACTTTTAGGGAGAAATTAATAATGTACAAATTCAGAACAGAAGTAGAATTTTCCAAAAATCTGGGAGCATGAAAGAAGGGATGATACTAAAAACTAGCAAATTGCCGGTCAAGAATGACAGGGCCTCCCTGCCGCGGCCCGCCCCCCCCAGGTCTGGCCCACCCTCTACCTGCCACTCTGGATTGGCCCTGCTGCCCGCTCCTCGCCACTGCTCCAGGTCTAGTCCTGCTCCACCCCCTGCCAGGGGCGGATTAAGGTGTACTGGTGCCCTGGGCAAACACAAAACTGGAGGTCTCCTGGCCTCACGGGAGCTGGGCTACAGAGAGGTGGAGGAAGGGTCTCTTCCCCTCCTGGTGCTGGCAGGGGAGGCTGGGTGGACCCTGCTGGGGCTGGGGGTGAGTGGGTACATGCCTGCCTCCTCTCCTCGCTACCTACCCCCCTCCTCTGCTATGGCCAAACATACACACACACACAGGCACACACACAGATGGGCACGCACACACTCTCACTCACTCTCCACGTGGACACAGACACAAAAGTATTCTCCCTGCCACGAACACAGATGCATGCACTCACACATGCATGTGCACAGACACGCAGACAGGCGTGCACTCTACTCACTCACTCTTTGCACACAGACACACAAATACTCTCCCTCCTGCCATGAACACAGACACATGCATGCACACATGCAAATGGGTATGCACTCCACTCACTCAGTCTCTGCACAAGGAGACACAAACACAAACACTCTCCCTGCCATGAACAGACACATGCATGCACACACACAGATGCACGCATACAGACACACACACGAACACAGACACGCACTCTACTCTCATTCTCTGCACATGGGCACAGAGACAAACACACTCTCCCTCATGCCATGAACACAAACACATGCACACAGACACATGCACGCACGCACACACACACACGCTATACTCACTCTCTGCACATGGGCACAGAGATAAACACAATCTCCCTCCTGCCATGAACACAGACACATGCACGCGCACACACACACATGCAGACACAGACAGGCATGCACTCTACTCACTCTGCACATGAACACACAGACACAAACACACTTTCCCTGCTATGAACACAGATGCATGCATGCACGCAGACACACACATGCAAGCACAGACGCACACATGCAGTTACGCACTCTACTCATTCTCTGCACATGGACACAGAGACAAACACGCTCTACCTGCCATGAACACAGACAGACACACACACACACACACACACACACGTGCATACACATAGATGCAGAGATGCATGCACACGCAGGCGCACACACATGCATTTATACGCACACAGACACATGCATGCACAAAGATGCACACATCCAGCCATATACCTTCCCCTCACAGAACCTCCCCCCTTCCCCACCACCAGCAGCCCTCCATTGAAAGCACAGCACTGATGCTTCGGATTCCTTCTATTTTACTAAATGTTTACATTTTGAAATTTTCTGGTGCTTGACTAGGGTTGTAAAGAAGTGAATTAGCTGATAGTAGCATCCCAAAAAAAAGCATGTCAGCTAGCCCAATATTTCACACATGTTCAGAGACAATATTTTTTAAAATGAAGACAAGATACAAAAGGAACACAGTATTTCTGATGGTCAAGGCCTGCTCTTAGTACAGTGATTCATATTCTCCTCCCCCAAGCAAGAAGCTTGCAATGCAAGAACAAGGGGACATCCTAAAATGCCAATCAAAACTGACACTACAACCAACTTATCATACACCAAAGCTATTCTTGTACGCACTGCCACAGGTATTGAAAATAAGATTTTTTTCAAGAAGAAAGGACTCAGCATTTCTATTGACAATAACAATTTTCAGAAAAAAAGTTTTGGAATGGATATAAAACTTCCCACTTCAGTGATGAATGTTTATCAGGGCTGAGGATGGGAAAGTCACAGGCCAATTACCTGCATCTAGCCCTGAAAGACTTCTTGCCGGTTACTCTTTGAGACCTGGTACTAAACTAGACAGATCCTGCATCTGACCCAGTTGAGCAAGTCTTACTCAGGAGCATCCTTAACCAGGTCTGCATGCACCAATGATGCAAGAAGCTTGAGAAGCATCCAAAGGAGACCAGTTCTACCTTGGGAGGTAATTCAAAGTCACAATCTCTCATCACAGCCAAGATCATTCATTTTAACAGCATTTGCACTATGGTTTCCATCACTAACAGTTTGTCTGTATTTTTTGCAGTGTCATGTAACCTTGCTCAGCAGAGGTGTAATCAATATGATGTTTCCAACACTGGCCACAGATCATCTACCTTACGACTCCCAATGCTGAAGTCATGAGTGAAGCCAAACAAATATTAGCAAGGCTTAATATTTATTCCCCCAAAAAGTCTTAGCAAAGATGTTAATCCAGCTAGCACCAAAAAACTATACGCTCTATAGAAATTCCAGCCTTTAAATAGAGCTGCACCGATACATTGGTCCATATCATACTAGCGCTGATAAAAGGAAAATTGACATAATCAGCAATCAGCTTTTTTGGCTGATCTAGCCGATAATGT